AAATGAGGACCTGATGCCAGGGGCTTACGTGGAGAGCAAATGTTTTGAGAATGATGAGGGCAATGAATGTACAAATGTGCTTTACACAATTGATGTATGTGTGGATTGTGATAAGAGTTGTATGAACTCCTAATAAAACTTTTTTTAAAAAAAGTTCTGCTATGGACAAAAAAAACCCAGTGATAAATTAGATTATACACGACTGAATTGAAAGACAATTTACATAACAGAGAAAGAGTCCACTTATCATGATGTCACCTATTGGTCTAGTTATGAGGATTTTGGTCTCCTTACATTGAGTTGTAATTCATAATGAAGGCTGGAATCCTCAATCTTCAGCAAGTGCTCCAAGTCCTCCTCACATGTTAATAAGGTTTCCTCCAATCCTGATGCCTTATTTTTTACATAATCCAGCTTCTTCGATGATATGCTCAGCATACCGATTGCATAAATATGGTGAGAAGATCCACAAATGTACAAATGTGCTTTACACAATTGGTGTATGTATGGATTGTGATAAGAGTTGTATGAGCCCCTAATAAAGCGATTAAAAAAAATCCTTATAGTAAAAAAAAACAAAAACGCTTTTCTCAAGGCAAGAGGAGAGGGAGTGCCTAGCCACCCCTTAAAAGCATTCACCTCTGGCGTGGTTCCCGGCTGGATCCTTGCCCCGGGAGGAAGGAGGGATAGCTGCAGGGACCCAGGGTTCCAGGGGTCCGGCGCGGGTGGGGCTGGGAGGGTGTGCGGTAGGCCTCTTTCCTTGACCCTAGGGAAAGCAAGGGATCCAAGGCACTCCGCCCTTCCAGGCTCCCAAGGGCCCTTTAGGTGGGCGGAATGGGAAACTGAGCAGCGTCTCAAGGGACGTGGCTCCTACAGGAAACGCCCTGGGGAGGCCCTCCAAGGGCCTTCTGCACCGGGCTTCCCCTTGGGCGGCTTGGGCAACGCTCCACGCTCAGCCGCGCGGAACTGTGGGTGACGTCGGGCGGCGAGCGCGACGTCGGGCGGCGTGCCCTTGAGGCGCGTGGCTGCCGTGAGGGGCGTGCTCTGTTCGCGTGAGGGGAGTGAGAAGGCTCTGAGCAAGTAAGTCCACGAGCGACTTTCCCCCTGAAAACGCGGGGGCGCGACCTTGGAGTCGCGGGTAACTTGGGTCGGGAACCCCCTGCTTCCTGCGGCGGCGCCTGGCCAACGCACTGACTCAAACCCTGAGCCACTGCCGTCGTCGAGTGGAGGCCGGCCGACGCCTGGCGACCCGCTGGGCCAGGGTAGAACTGCCCCGCTGCGTTCCCGAGCCCGTAACTCTTGGCGGGGGTGGGGGTGGGGCGCAGCCTAACATGCGGACCCCCCCCCCCCCATGGGCAGCCCTGGGAAACGCCCTGGGGGTGATGCCCTCCGCGTGAGGTGGCGCTGGCCTGGCTGTGGAGCGAGCCGACTTGGCGCGTGGGGCCTTCGTCGCAGGCCCGACGGGGAATATGGTTTGGGGCACCCCCAGTGCCTGTAGGCCCCAACCCAAGCCCGTCCCGCGGCAGAGGGAAAGAGGGCCTCCCCGCTCGCCCACGAGTTTCAGCCAGGCCGTGGGGTTCAACCAGCCCCTCTTGGGGCCGGAGGAGCCCTGAGGACGCAGTGGTTCCATGGCGGCTCGGTCCACAGTTCGACACCCCTAGCTGCGCAGCGGGAGAAAGGCGGGGCTCTCCTCCTGTAAAGAGTTCCATCACGGGGGGACCTGGGGGCTGATGTTGTACCCTCCTGATAGGGTCGCCCTGTGTCGGCACCGACTCGTGGGTAGTGGGTTAGTGTTAACAAGGGTTGGTATTAACCCCCTCCCCTCCCCCGACCCTGGCTGGTAAGGGACTGGCTAGGCTGGTGGTTTCCATGGAAACCCTACCTGGCAGGCTCCTCGTGGGTCCGAATCCATTCGGTGGTCCACCAGGCGCTGTCCCTGGGTTGCGAGCAGTGAATGCGGTGGGAGGTGGGAGCCCACACAGAGGCCTGGTGGTCTCCTTTGGGAGAACATCCTAAGGTGCGCAGTGCTGCTCATGACACTCATGGGGGACATGAGTCCGTTGACTACAGGACGTTTAAAAACAAAGCTGTAAAAGGTATTACGCTAGGAATGTAGCTGTAGGTTGACCGGGTCGCTCTCTTAAGTTCAGTTTTTGTACATTTTTTTCTGTGACGAGTGCTATATTAAAGGTGGTAACCTTACTCATAACTTTTCAGAAAATCTTTCCTTATTGATATCCTTTGTTTTTGAACTTAGTAATCAAGATGAGTGACAGTCTCTTCGTCAGTTTGGACAAACTTTTACTAGAATTCGGTAGGTATATAATGAAAATAACGAAATGGGTATGGGTAGCTATTTGTACTATCATTAGGTATTTTAATGGTTGAAGTCATAAATACTTATTTTAGTTTTCCAGTATGATCAAGCTATAAGAACTAAAGAAGATATGAATCAACGAATTAATAGTGAGTCAAAATATATTTTAATTTTTGCATTTTTTAATGGTGTGGAGGATGAATATACAAATGTCCTTGTAAGGGTAAATTGTGGTTTGCATTATAAATTTTTTGATTAATACTGAGCCATTTACCCCAAGGCAAAACAGTCATAATTTAATGATAATTTAAATTTGTATATTCAGCATTTAATTATTTGAGCTGGAGAATTTTGCTTTAAGCAAAATTGATGTCTTACGTGCCGTTGAAAAGGTGTAATATGCTTACACAATGCAGACTATTTCAGATATCTGAGTAAACTTTTTAATAAAAATAATAACCTAAATTTAGGAACCAAGATTGGTAGATGACACAGTTCTGGGAATAATAATTCTTAGAAATAATATTATGAATGAAATGATAAGGCAAATTATATAAATACAGCATGTCTAAGAATCTAACATGGAACTTAATTTCTTAATAGTTGTAAAAAAGTAGGATTTTTTAGTGATAAATGCATAGTATTAAGAATTTATTCTAATATTATTATGTAATTATATAATTTTTTATATGTTTAAAAAAAAACAAAAAACCCCAAGCCCATGGCTATCCAGTCAATTCTGATTCAAGTGCCACTTTGTAGGGTTTTGAGGTTGTACACTTTTATGAGCGCAGATAGCTTCACTTTCCTCCTGCGGAGTGGTTGGTGGTTTGAACTGCCGCGCTTGTACTTCTCCAGCAGTACTTCTAGGGCTGCTCCTACACACTGCTACCTACGTGAGTTGAAAGTATATCTAATAGCAAATAGGCACAAATTTCATAAATAGAAACATAACATTTTTCCCTACTGTTGTTTTGAATTTGTAATTTCTCTCAAGAAAATAAACATTTCTGATTTCCAGAATGCCTTGAAGATATTAAAGAGAACAAAGCAACTATTTGTAAGATACATGAAATTATAAATAAAACAGATGAAGAAATTGCTTATTACTGTAAGCATAGTAAGGACATCAAAGAGAACTGTAATAAGTGAGTATTTGAAAGAAATAAATGAACTTTCAATAATTGTCATAAGCTTCTTTTATTCAAGGTTTCTGAGTGTGTAGTTAAAAATAACATTGCTTTGAATTAGTATTTTCTACTGAACAATAATGGATCCAGTATTAAATCGCCCAGTTTCATATCACTATAGAAAAAAATTATGGAAGGTTCAAAAGGAAACTAGAGGAAGGGATTTAAGATCTCATTAGTGCAGTTCCAATGAATCTAAATATATAATTTAAACTAATTCAGACTTTATATAAGATTCTCATTAGAGAAATGTAAGTAAATTGAAAATAATTTTAATCTTTGAGTTTTTAGAATTTTATTACATAAGGGACTCCAACCTAAAATTAATAGTTTTTAAAAGTTAAAATACTCAATATGTAAAGGAATTCTTCCAGCATGGCTTCAAGCTCTGTATTCTAGTAGTTATATATGTTACAAGACAAATGTTTTGAAACAAAGACTTGTGAAGAATGTTGAAATGAGGGGTCACAGGGCAGAGATGAGCCAGTCAGGGTGCAGTATAGCACCAATGAAACACACAACTTTCCTCTAGTTCTTTGGTGTTTCCTTCACCCCACTATCATGACCTCAATTCTCTTTTACAAAATTGGATTATATCAGAGTATGCACACTGCTACAGATAAGAGCCCATACCGCAGGGAATCCAGGATAGGTAAACCTCTCAGGGCCAACAAGGAGAGTAGAGATAACCACGCTGCAAGGGTCAATCTAGAACCCCCTCCCAGGGGGACAAATAACGGAAAAGTGGGTGAGGGGTGATGGAAGACGATGTAAGATATGGAAAAAAAATCTATAATTTATCAAGAGTTCGTGAGGTAGGGTGGGCCGGGAGGGAGGGGGAAGAAATGGGGAGCTCATATCAGGGGCTCAAGTGAGAAGAGAATGCTTTGAAAATGATGATGGCAGCATATGTGCTTTACACATTGGAGGAATGTATGGTTTGTGATAAGAGAAGTAAGAGCTCCCAATAGTATTTATAAAAAAATGTTGAAATGAGCAAATGTTTTGTTACATATACATTTTCTACAATTAAAGAAAAAAGAACTTACTGTGTATAGAACCTTACTACTGTATATTACAAATACTTAAAAATAAAATGTCATGGTTTCTAAACTCAATTTTATGTGGACCATTGCCTCTATATTAAATACAATACTATAAAATCGTATTTATTTAAAGTATCATTTAAAAATTTAATAAGCCTATTGAATTCTGCCATTCTTTTTATCGTTTTTTTAAGATGATAAAAGTAACATATCTAGTATAATATAAAACAATATACAAATGAATGGAGTAAAAAGTTTTTCCCTTCTTACTGCTCATTTCTCATCCTAGGTAATCAGCCTTAACAGTTTAACATTTACCATCATTACTGCATATATCCATATATGTGGTTAACTCAAAACCTATTGCTCTAAGGGTTCCAATTTGTATATGTGCAGACTTGAATCAAATAAAGCGTGGTTCAATATTCCTCTGTCATCAAAGGGTAGCTATAGACCAGTTCTCTTAGTAAGGCACTGCCTTAATCTAGTTTACTTAGTGCCATCAAGTTGATTCCAATTCATATTGACCCTATAGGACCACCCATGTGGACTTTGGAGACTGTAAATCTTATAGGAATAGAAAACCTCTTCTCCCATGAATGGCTACTGGTTTTTAACTGCTGACCTTGAGGTTGGAAACCTAACACGGAACCCACTACACTACCAAGGTTTCTTAGTTTAGTAGGGTGCCGTAAAAAATAAGATCCAATTAAAATAGTAGCTTCTGAAGGATATGCTGGGCCAGCTTAATTCAAGGCAGAGAGGTCACCTCACAAAGCTATGGTAAATTGCTTTTTGCATTCCCAAGGAGTCATTTTGATAGGTTTTCTCTAAGGATGTGGTGATAATGGGGACTTATGAAGATGTTTAAAGAAAATTGAAAACTATTGTTGAGAAACCAAGTTAAATGTTGGGTTATTTTTTCCCCATCATGATAATTCACATATTTATTCTTTTTGTGTCACAAGGGCTGTCCTGTGAGAATTTCTTACCTCATCTATCCTACTGCCCTGATCTTGTACCTTCAACTTATTTTTGTTCAACTAAAAGATTTAAAAGAAATACCATCTTAGTCCTTCAAACACAACAGAATTGCTATTTTGAGGATAGTATAAATTGAAGAGCGCAGGATTCTTTGGGGAAGGGTTACCAAACTCCAAACTCACTGCCATCAAGGCAATTCTAATTCATAATGGCCCCATTGGACCAGGGTAGGGATGCCCCTGTGGGTTTCTGAGACTGCAGCTCTTTATGAGAATAGAAAACCTCATCTTTTCCCGGTGGAGTGACTGTTGGTTTAAAACTGCTGACGTCATAGTTAACAGCTCAACATGTAACTGCTACAGATGGTAATTTTGCTTTCAGAAGTGTATATACCTAGGTAGAGGTATATAGCAATAAGCAGTCATTTCACATTTTGATGTTTGTGTTTTATGAGGTTTCCATGAGTTACAGCAATCCCATTTTTTACTTTTTCAATCTTTGACGTTAAAATTCCCTTCTGGTGAATATTTTTTAAGAAATTGAACAGAAATTTAAAAAATATTTCAAGTACAAGTCATGCTTATGATAGAGAAACCTGGTTTTTTAAGCACAATAAAAAATAAGGGAATGATTGTGTTATGGAACAGTGTGCAGTCTTAAAATTTTTACAATGAGTCCTTAGTGACAAGGAAAAACAGGTTAAATGTAAGTGATAAAGGAGGATACATTATATGTGAATATGGTCTTGACAATGTTAAAAATGGAAACAATCGAGTCAATTTATTAATAATAATTATCATTAAATGTTGAGTGCACAGATTAAAGTTTATTTATCCTATATACTCCTGTTTTTTCATAGTGGATATATATAGTTTTTTAATCTAAGGGGTAGAGAAAATATTAATAAAAAGATCTAGAGCAGCGGTTTTCAACCTGTGGGTCGCGACCCCTTTGAGTCACAGGGGTCGCCCGATTCATAACTAGCAAAATTACAGTTATGAAGTAGCAATGAAAATAATTTTATGGTTGGGGAGTCACAACATGAGGAACTGTATTGGAGGGTGGTGACATTAGGAAGGTTGAGAACCACTGAGCTAGAGGAAACAGAGCAATACTTAGAGTGGAAGCTTCCATGGAGAATGCTAATTGTAGATTTTTTTATATTAATAATGTATTTTCAAGACATGCAATAAAACATTGGTATTCTCATCTAATTTTAGAATTCATATTAGCATCATCTCTAGTTTTGAGGGAGGGTAATAAAAGTCACTCTTTAGTTCTACCCTAGTTCTTTGAATGCTTGAAGAAATGATGATGTTGGAGTGTTTCAGAACGTGTCTTAAAAATGCCATGCCACATCTGGTCTTTCTGTAGTCTTGATTCTCAAAATAGGTTTTATATAAAAAGTAATGGATATTTGAGCATACATATAAGTCATGAATGGTGGTAGTTAGGGGAAATGAGAATATTTTTCTTGATATAAGTTCCTTCAGGAAGAGAATGATCCTATTTTAAATAATTATGTTAACTTAAAATTAATCTTTGTCAATTTGTTTATCATTTAAGATGCTTATTTTTAAATATGATTTTTTCTGTAGCTGGAAGCCAACATGTGATGTTTTTCATAAACATGAAGATTATATGAAGAACCAGTTTGCTGCTTATCGAGAAGCTCTTGAAAAAGACAAGTATAGTATACACCTTAATTTAAACTTTTCAATTCCATTTGTAGTGTCAGAAGGACATTATGCTTTGCCAGAATGTTATTGAAAAAAAGTATTCTAAGGGAGGACTAAAAAGTATACGAAGTATATGAACTCTGTGCCATTTGAGGTTTACTTATTGTTGGAAAGCTCTCTCTAACCCTTGCTATATTTAGATGTATTCTCATATATAAAAGTTTGTTAGCAGTGAAAACAAAGTGCTTCTGGTAATGGGCTTTATGATTGAGCAAACATCTGAGGGGAATCTATAGAATGTTTATTACACATTTTGTATATTGATTTTTAAAAATCATTTTATTGGGGCTCATACATCTCATCACGATCCATACATACGTCAATTGTGTAAAGCACACTTACACATTCATTGCCCTCATCATTCTCAAAACATATGCTTTCCGCTTGGGCTCTTGGAATCAGCTTTTTTTTTTTTTAACCTCCTCCCTCCCCGCTTCCTCATGCACCCTTGATAATTTATAAATTATTATTTTATCATATCTTACACTGCCCGATGTCTCCCCTCACCCACTTTTCTGTTGTCTGTACCCCAGGGAGGAGGTTATATGTAGATTCTTGTAATTGGTGCCCCCTTTCCATCCCCCTTTCCCTCCCCCCTCCCGGTATCACCACTCTCACCACTGAGAGGGGTTCATCTGTCCTGGTTTCCCTGTGTTTCCAATTCCTATCTGCATCACTGTACATCCTCTGGGCTAACCAGGTGTGTATGGTAGAATTGGGATCATGATATGGGGGGGGGGGGAGGAAGCATTTAAGAACTAGCGGAAAGTTGTGTTTCATTGATGCTACACTGCACCCTGAGTGACTCATCTCCCTACTACGCCTCTGGAAGGGATGTCCAGTTGTCTACAGATGGGCATTGGGTCCCCATCCCGCACTCCCCCTCATTCATGATGATATGATTTGTTGTTCTTTGGTGCTTGATACCTGGTCACTTCTACCCCTCATGATCACACAGGCTAGTGTGCTGCTTCCATGCGGGCTTTGTTGCTTCTGGGCTAGGTGGCCGCTTGTTTACCTTCAGGCCTTTGAGATCCCAGACGCTATATCTCTCGATAGCCAGGCACCATCAGCCTTCATCACATTTACTTCAGCACACATTTGTCTTCAGCTTTTATATGGGGAAGGCGAGCACACAATGATGTTGTTTGTTCTTTGGTGTCTGCTACCTGATCCCTTCAACACCTCGTGATCACACAAGCTGGTGTGCTTCTTCCCTGTGGGCTTTGTTGCTTCCGAGCTAGATGGCTGCTTATTTACCTTCAGGCCTTTAAGACCCTAGATGCTATATCTTTGGGTAGCTGAGCACCATCACCTTTCTTCACCACATTTGCTTATGCATACGTTTGTCTTCAGCGAGCATGTCGGGAAGGTGAGCATCATGGAATGACCATTTAGTTGAGCAAAGTGTTCTTGTATTGAGGGAGTATGTGAGTGGAGGCCCAATGTCCATCTGCTACCCTACTACTAAACCTATAAATATATGCACATAGATCTATTTTCCCCATACTCATAAATATATTTACATATGTACATGCCTGTATTTAGGCCTCTATGTATGCCCTTTGCCTCCTATTTCTTTCCTCTATTTCCTTCTTTCCTCTTGTCCCAGTGCCATGCTCAGCCTTCATTTGGGTTTCAGTAATTCCTCTTGGTTACATCGCCCTTGATCACTCCCTACCAGTCCTCCCATCCCCTCCTTGCCACTGGTTTTGAATCACTCCTTGTTCCCTTGTCCCTGGGTTGGTTAACACTTCTCTTCCCCCACCTCCCACTCCCCCTGGATCCTTCCGGTCCCTTGTTTTCTTCTCCACATTGTTTATCCAGCCTATCTTATCTAGATAGACCTGAAAGATAATAATATGCACATCAAATTGTGGATGGCCTTGACAGCACCAAAGTGACACATAAAAACAAGGCTACGGCAGCAACAACAACAAACTAACAAACAAAAAGCCACTGACGTAAAAAATCTAAAACAAGAAAAAACGAAAGAAAAGCCTGTTAATAATTCAAGGTCTGTTTGTTGACCTTTAGGAGTGTTTTCCAGATGAGTGATGGGATGCCATGCCCTGGCCCCAAAGCCTGACTTCCTTGTTCTGCTCTCCCCGCCATTCTATTGCACGCCTTTAGTGTTTTGCCTCAGTGTGGTGGGGTCAGTTTGGTCACACATCCCACACTGTGTCTCCAGTGCTGCCCCATGTAAGGCCATGGGTCAGTGCAGGATGTTGCATCTTGCAGTGGGGCCAGCCATATGGTCTTCTCTGTGCATTAGCCGCTCGAGCAGGGCTATTGCCCTCTGAGCTTGGTGGGCCATGGTGTACTCCACTCCCTTCCTCCCCCTTCATTTGCTTCAGCTTCCTTCTGGGTATTGTAGGTGGGTTCCTTTCCCTCACCAGATGGTCTATTTTCATTTTCTGTGGCACTCCCTTCCATGGTGGGGGTCAGGCTGATTCTGGTTGGGGCCGGGCACATAGTCCAGTCTTTTTATGGAATCTTCCACGCGTTACATTGCCCTCCTGGTTTGGTGCGTAATGCTGGGGTCTGTATGCACATTCCAGTTCTGTGGGGATACAACGAATACGCTCCCCCTGGGTGGGTTAGTGCCCTGTTCCACCCATGTCATCATCTCAGTTTATCCCCACCCCGATTCTCCCTCTTCCTTCCCCATTTCCCCTTCTTTATGTTGGACTCACATGTACCTCCCTGGTGTGGTCTGCCCTCCCTCCAACTACCTATGTTTCTACCCATTTATTGCGAGATAAGTGTCTAAAGGTTTTTTACATCAAATTTTGGTTTATGAGACTTTGCTGACTTAATGAGGTGGTTATATGTAATGGAGAAGGCCTAAATTATGTGGGATTATTTTATTATGTGTATAATCACATGGTCTTGGTCTTGGAGACTAAATATAGTTAGTGAATATAATGAAAAAGTAAAATAAGGGAATTTGAACACTATAATATAAAAGTTTATAACTAATAAAGAAAATTAAAATTTTAATTTTATTTGTTTAAAATTTTTTTTATCTTTTAACACAGTTGGACAAAAGCTGCATCTATTTTATCTTAATTATATAAACACAAATATAGAATGCAGTATTCTTTAAGAGAAGATAAAGGTTAAAGATTTGAATTACTTTGTATTTTTAAATCATGGAAATTGATGAGATTCCCCAGAGAAATATATAGAGCACAGAGAAATATATGGAGCATAAGGTGAAGCTTGGTCATCCAACTGGTAGTCAGAGGGTAGAACCAGTAAAGGGGCCTGTTACTTGGCTATTTATTGACCCTGCTTTATTCCAAAAAGGATTTAAGATGACATGTGTGTATAGATACTTAAAATATCATAATATTAACAAAAAACTCCCAAAAGTCAGAACTTCAGGAAAGTAAGGACACTAGATGAATCCTTTGGTCAAGTAAGAACCATAATGTTATGTTATATGATCCTGCACAGTTGTTGGATATAGATACAAATTAAGCTTTGAAATCCCTAATAGTCAAAGTATTATGAGGATGTGATCAGTTTGGAATTCAGAGTATTCCTTTAAAATCAGCTCACCTGGCTTATGGTAAGCAGAGTTTTTCCCCCTTATGGCTTGAGAGAAGTTTCTCCCATGGGTTTTAATGAAGGAGAAACTGCAATATTGTGGTAAATATCTTGAGTGGCCTCCTCAGAATAACCACTACACACACACACATACACATAACACTGCTTCTTATGACATCTCTCAATGCAGGCCATGTCTATAAACCATTTTTTTGAGTGTTAGGGTTATGATTTATGGCTATGGTTACATCTAGAGTTAATGTTAGGATTTAGAATTATATTAAGTGTTTGCTTCAATTATACAACTAGTTAATATCTCATAATTTTTATGCATAAATTATTTGGTGACATTAGTTATTTATCACAGTGTGTCAACATTTTGTAAATTGTGTTGTCTATAAAATGTTAATTCTGAAAAATGATTCAGTTTGGCACTAAAACAAATCAATCCAGGATGAACCCCAAGACTATTTACCTTAAGTCACTCTTCTAATGTGGAACTGAAGTCACCCCCAGAGGCTACCTCTTGACCAAATAATAGACCACCTTATAAAATAAGCAATAAAACCTATGAGGAAAGGTTTGTTTTTTTTTAAAACCCAACTATGTGAGACTAAAAGTGCTTCATGGCATAGTGGCTATGTACTAAGCTGCTAACTTCAGAGTCAGTAGTTCGAAACTACCAGCTACTCTCAGGAAGAAAGCTGGGGCCTTTTACTCTTGTAAAGAGTTACGGTCTTTGCAAACTCACAGAGGCAATTCTACTCTGTTCTACACAGTAGACATCCACTCAATAACAGTGAGTTTGGTTTATAAGAGTCTGAACGAGTAACATTTGCCCAAAAGTAAGTATGAGGAAGGAGAGACAGGACAATTGGAAGACTGGTATCAGGGAACCGAGGGTGGAAATGGGGAGGATGCTGATATGTTGTAGAGATTACAACCAATACCACAGAACAATATATGGATGAATTATGGAATGGAAACATCTGCTGTGTAAACTTTCACTAAAATACAATAAAATGTTTTAAAGGAAGGAAGCAAACTAGTCTAAATAGGCAACTTTCCAGTCCAAATAGGCAACTCTCTGATAGTGTTTGTTATGACTGATTTCTCTGAGCTAGCCAGAAATATTAAAGTGAAAACAGCTATCTACGTATTTCCTAAACCAGTCACGTAGGTTGATTGAATTGACTCAATATCAAGCATTCATAAAAGAAAGTCCATTTTTTATTGTCATAGACAATGAAAGAAGTAGAGGCACCCGCTAGTTTCTTCTACTTTTCCATAGTTATTCACCAAGGCACTATGGAATAGTGAACGGAAATAATAACAACAAATAATATGGAATATAAAATAATTTATAATTAAACATTAATTAATATTAAACAATTAATTATACGGAATATTAATAATAGTTAACAGTATGGAAATCCGTGAACTGTGTTCCAATAAAACTTTATGGACACTGCAATCCTAGTTTTGTGTAATTTTAATGTATCCTGAAATAGTCTTTATTTAGTTTCCCACACACCAATCATTTCAAAAATAATGTAAAAGTTATTTTTAGTTTGTGGGCTATACAAAAAGAGGAGGCAGGCTTATTTGGTCTCTGGACTATAATTTGTTGACCTCTGTTACAAATCAAGCACAGGTTAGGAGAGAGGGACTTATTTGATGTAGAATTAACTGTCTGACTCAAGACTTGTGCCTGCACAGGTGACCATCTTACCTTTACCTGAGATGAACTGGAAGAGCTCCTTCTAACAATGTTTTTTCTTCATAAAATAGTTTTGGGGTATGCATGACTAATTGTAATTATAGAGAGATACAACATAAAATATGAATTCATGTGATAATTTCTTCCCTCTCACTCATAGTGACCCTCTGGGTTTCTGAGATGGTAACTCTTTATGGAAGTGTAAAGTCTAGTCTTTCTCCTTGTGGGGCTGCTGGTGGTTTCAAAGTGCAGACCATGCAAGTTTCAGCCCACCACATAACCACTAAAGGAGATTAAAAAGTCATAGGCATCGCAATAGTGAAGTGGGTAGAAAAGAGGCTTCGAACCCAAGAAGGATAGAGGTTTAAGGGAAAATAAATGATCAAAAGAACAAGATTCTGTAGTGTCTACTAGGATGAATACTAAAAAGAGATAATTTGAAGTGGACAAGTTAGATCATTGATAATTTTGAGAAAAGGGAGTTTTGTTAGAATCTTGAGTGTGGAAGTTATATTCAAGAGGATTAAGAATGAATATTGAATATTTTAGTGGAGAAAAAGAAATACAGTAGAGTTATGGAAAGTTTGAATTGCAAATAGTATTGGGGGAAACAGAGTAAGTAGATATTTTATTTGCTTTTCGTGCTTAAGGAGCTTAGTGGCAAAATGGGTTAAGCACTGTGCTGTGGGAGAAAGATGTGACTTCTGCTCCCGAACAGATTTAAAGTCTCAGAAATCAAATGAAGCAGTTCTACTCGACTGCTGTAGGTTCACTATAAGTCTGACTCAACTGTGTAGAAGTGGGTTTTATTTTGTCTCTGGGTTTATGTTTATTTTAGTTGACTTTAACTAAAATTTAAGTGAAAATTTACATTGATTTTACATGTAATTTTGCTTATATATAGTTATAATTTCTTTTCATTTCAACAGGAAAATGTATCAGGGCTATATATGCCAGTATAAAGATGTCTTGAAACAATATCAACGAAAATATTCGGAAACACCCTTTTCACATGAATATTATAAGAAGAAAACAGAACATGATGAAATTAAAAGCAGGTTGTTGGCATGCTCTGAACAACTAGAACATAATGAAACTATTTTTATGGAATTTTTAGGTACTAATGTTTTAAAATATATTGTTTTAATGATGGCATATTTGTAATGAAAACAATATAGTATGTAAATCCGTCAAAATGTGTTTTTTTGTTTTTCAGTTCCTGCTCCCTTTCCATCACTTTCTAAATGGACATTACATATGTATCCGTAATTGTATTTCTACTTATAGTTTTTAATTAGATAAGTATTATTTCTCTATTTATATTTTAGTTTTCCCTTATAAGAACCACATGGGTTTGTTTGGTTTAATTTAAATTTGAGTTTACTTTCAAGGCCATTGGGACTTGTTGTCATACATGTCCATGTGATCAGTGCAAACAATCTGATGAAGATAAAGTGGTACATATATCAGTCTTTTAATGATGTCTTACTTGAAATATCTTGCTCTGTCTTAATCAAAGAATGAGTTTCAATTAAATAAATTATTACTTAGTAGGTTGGAAGATGGTAAGGAGATGAGTTACAATTTTTAATTAACCCGTAGAACCTACCTTGTGCTAGGGAATCACAAAAAAGATACAAAGCTTTCTTCCAAGGAGTTCACAGTTTAGTAGAGTAGAATGACATACAAAGAAATAATCTAATACAGTTGCATTTTAATAGATGCTTAAGTAACTGTTAATTGGTTTATGTCTTGCTTATTTTGCTACATATATCTTCTTACAATGAATTCAGCACCTTAATCTTCTTCCAACTTCTGCCTGTCTTCATATGCTTCCTTACACAATTATAAATATATGGTTTTGTCCTAAACCTTCTTTATTCTTGTAGTTTGCCCATGTTGCCTGTCAGTTTTATCCTAGGTCATTCTTCTAATTCTTGTACTGCTTGTTCACCCTTATGCTGATCTTACTCAATTCTTTCATGAGATGTCCATTAGCTACCTACCTGTGCTTAATTTCTTGGTGGGGCTGGGCAAAGGTTGGTAGTACCACAGGGGTTTAGGGAGTGGGACGTGAGAGGGGATGACATAGGATGAGATGTAAGCTTATATGATAAACAGGAAAAAATGAATGGAGATAGGATAGATTGAAGAATAAAATTTATATATGTATCCCCAAAACAAATATATATATCTTTATTTAAAACTTAAGAATTTTGATAAAAACAGTGTTATGAAAGCATATTCACTTGAAATCTTATTTTCTAGCATGTAAATAATATTTTAAGGCACGTAGAAAAGGTCTGACAAACTTTCTTTGAAGTTTTTGATCACTGCCATTAGACCTATCATTTCTTAATTCCTCTAAATAGATTGTAGAGTAATTTAAGAAATTATATTAACTAAAGCTATGCATTGTGTCTGTTAATAACTAAGAAATTTTCTCCTTGAAATTTGACGTAAGTCTGGGTCAAGCAGAAATCCAAATGGAAGATTTAGCGATCTTCTTAGTTTCACAGGATGCACTTATAAATTTTATAGAGCAAGAAAGGGGAAATTAGGCGACTCTTTAAAAAATCATTTTATTAGGGGCTCATACAACTCTTCACAGTCCGTACATACATCATTTGTGTCCAGCACATTAGTACATATGTTGCCATCATCATTCTCACAACACCTGCTTTCTACTTGAGCCCTTGGTGTCAGCTCCTCATTTTTTGCCCTCCCTCCCCCTTCCCCCTGAACTCTTGATAATTTATAAATTATTATTGTTTTATCATATCTTACACCATCCGATGTCTCCCTCACCCACTTTTCCGCTCTCCGTCCCCCAGGGAGGAGGTTATATGTAGACTTTGTCATCTGTTCCCCCTTTCTCCCTCACCTTCCCTCCACCCTCCCGATATCGCCACTCACTCCACTGGTCCTGAGGGGTTCATCTGTCCTGGATTCCCTGTATTTCCAGTTCCTATCTGTGCCAGTGTACATCCTCTGGCCCAGCCGGATATGTAAGGTAGAATTGGGATCATGATAGTGGGTGGGGGGAGGAAGCATTTAAGAACTAGAGGAAAATTGTGTATTTCATCGTTGCTACACTGCACTCTGATTGGCTCGTCTCCTTCCTGAAGCCCTTCTGCAAGAGGATGTCCAATTTCTCCCAGATGGGCCCTGGGTCCCCACCCTGCACTCCCCCTCATTCACAAGGCTATGATTTTTTTTTTTTTGTCTTTCATGCCTGATACCTGATCCCTTCGACGTCTTGTCATCTCACGGGCTGGTGTACTTCTTGCATGTGGGCTTTGTTGTTTCTCAGTTAGATGGCCCCTAGTGTATCTTCCAGCCTGTGGGACCCCAGATTCTATATATTTTGACAGCTGGGCACCATCAGCTTTCTTCACTGCATTTGTTGGGCGACTTTTTAACAGTTTTGAACTAATAAGTAATGAAAATATAAGGAGTTAAGTTTAAATACAAATTAATTATGTATTATCAGTTACCATAAATAACATCATCTTGGGTAACAAAACAAAATATCCCGTGGAAATATTTAACTGGAAAAAAAGTCCTAACAAATATTTTTTATTAAATGTTAATTTTAAGCTCAATATGTAACATTGATAAATAATAAATTATCAGCCTGTCCAATATTTATATTAATCTTGCTTCTGCTTCTAGTGATTATTAATATTGCTATTACTCATATAGAAGCATACCAATTATTTTTTATAATATTTTTGAAATAGTATACATATAAATATAATACCTACTTGCAAGACATAGTTCCTTAACATAAAAGGGTTAATACGAGAAAGAAAACACAAGAACTTCTTAAACTTGCTAGTAATTTTAGCAAAAGTTCATCCGGAATGAAAACAGAAGTAGATGAAATGGAAATAGAAGTTAATTACTTAAACCAGGTATGTATTTTATTATGTTTGTAATGTATGTGTAAGTTTAATGGGTAAGAGTAACCTTAGAACTATTTTCAAGAGAGCTTAAAGATTGAAAAAGGTTTAAAATAAAACTTTAAATATTAAACTTAATTTAAAAGGATCATTTAAATTTAGAAACATGGTTAAAACAATATTAAAAGAATGATTCTGTTAGAGTTGAATGTTGATGAAAACCTGTGTGACATTTTAGTTTTAAGTTGAATTTCTATTTGGTAGATAAACATTAAATGTGTCTTTAAAACTAAAAATTTGCATTTAAAACTAAAATCTGTAGTTAGGCACACCTGATACTACGTAAGCAATTCAATTCAAAGACTAGTTTCCCCCCTGCCAAAGAGTCCACAAGAAAATGTCTCTTGGGAGTACAGAAGAGTTTAGCAAATTTTCAGGCTACTAGGTCAACAAACAAATCAGTTGAATTTCTATATACTATTGATGAGAAATCTGAGAGGGAAATTAGGGAAACAATACTATTTATAATACTATCTAAGAGAATGAAAATACCTAGGAAAAAATCTTAAGGAAGTAAAGGACTTATACAGAAAAACTATAAAATACTACTGAAAGAGATTAAAGAAGATTTAAATGAAATATGTTTCATTTTTCTGGATTGTAAGGCTTAGTATTAAGATATCAATACTATCTAGAGAAGCCTATAGATTAACACAATCCTGATCAAAATTCAAACAGCTTTCTTAACAGAAATAAAACCGCAATCCTCAACTTTATATGGAATGGCAAGAGACCTTGAATAACTAAAGCAGTGTTGAAAGAGAAGAATAAAGTAGGACTTACTCTTCCTGATTTCAGAATATGCTACATATCTACAAGGCTAGTTGTTTCATCCTGAAATATCCATTTGCTCCCTACTTATTTAAAAAAAAGTGGAAAACTAACCTTGCTTACTGAAGGCAGAGGGCTTGAAGCATTTGATGAAAGTCAGACTATAACCTTCAGTATGGGTGCAACTCAACGTTAAGAAAACAAAAATCCTCATAATTGGATTAATATAAAACATCATGATAAATGGACAAATATTGAAGTTGTCAAGGATTTCATTTTGCTTGGCTCCACAATAAATACTCTTGTAAGCAGCAATCAAGAAGTGAAATGATGTATTGCACTGGGCAGATATGCTCCACACAACCCTTCAAGGTGTTGAAGAGCAAGGATGTCTCTAAAGACTAAAGTGCGCCTGAACCAAGCCATGGTAATTTCAGTCACCTCATGTGCCAGTGAAAGTTGGACTATAAGGCTGATTGGAGCATTGATGCATTTGAGCTATGGTGTTGGTGAAAATGTTAAAAGTACTGTGACTGAATTATGGAATTATATATGTATTAACCCCCAATTAAAAAACAAAAATTACTGTGAACTGCCAGAAGAAACAAATCTGTTTCTTGTACTGTCTTGTAACAAGTACAGACAGAATGCTCCTTAGAAGCATGGATGGTAAGACTTTATCTTATGCACGCTTTGGACATGTTATTAAGAGAGATCAGTCCCTGGACAAGGACGGACATAATATTTGGCAAAGTTAGAGGATCAGCAAAAAAATGGGAAGACCCTCAATGAGATGAGCCCAGTAGCTGCAAAGAAGGGTTTCTAGCATAACAATTGTGAGGATGGGGTATAGGGTCTCTTGGCACCTAAAAACAATAATAACACAGCTACAGTAATCAAAATAGCCTGGTACTGGAATAACAATAAATCCACAGACCAATAAAATACAGTTGTGAGAATTTATTTCTGAGTGCTTGTCTTTGACAAGGTGATTTCTGACAAGTGTGCTCAGTCCATTCAATGGGAATACAAGTATTTCCTAATGGTGGTGGGGAAATTGAGTTTCCACCTGAAAAATGAATCAGGACTTATGCCTCCCAGCAGACAAAAAAAAAATTCAACGTGGATTAAGGACCTAAATATTCAAACTAAATCCATAAAGTTTATAGAAGGAAAAAAACAGGGATAACATTACAAAGCCTCACTTTTAACAATAGATTATTTAATACAAGATCAAAAGCAGGAAAACAAAAAACTTGTTTATCAAAAAACCTTACCAAAAAAGTGAAAAGGCAAGCTACTGACTGGAAAAATATTACACATTCAGAATATCTGACAAGGATCTAATAATAAAAATATATATAAAACTTTGACAACAAAGCCAAATGACCCAATTATAAAATGGGCAAAGGACTTGAATATGGATTTACCATATACATGTAAAGATACCTAGCTTTAACTGTCAGATACAAGGAAAAATGTAAACAAATACCATTTAATTATCCACTCAGAAGAAAACATTAGTAAAGGCATGGGGGAAATTGGAGCCCTTATCACATAGCTAGTGGGAATGCAAAATGATACAACTATTGTGGGAAACAGTATGGAGGTTCCTCAAAAAACAAAAATAGAACTGCCCTCATCATCTACCTACTGCCAACTGGTTGATTCATGGTGAACTTCATGGAGAAGAAATGCTCCATAGGGTTCCTAGGCTATATGTAAATCTACATGGGAGCAGACACCCTCATTTTTCTCCTGTAGAGCAGAGGTTTAAGAATTTCATAAGTAGAAGAAGTCCAAAAGACTAGAAAGCAGAGATTGAAAGAAAAACTTGTATAACAGTGTTTACTGAAGTACTTTTCACAGTAGCCAAAAGTAGAAACAACCTAAATGCCTATCAACAGATGAAGGGATACGCAAAAGCTAGACAGATACAGTGGAGTGTTACTCAGCAAGCAGGAGCAACCTGCTACATTAGGAATGGAACTTGAAGACATGCTGAGCAAAATAAGTCAATCACAAGAGAACAGATAAATGATCTGACATCCTAAAAGACCAAAACAGATGAATGTATAGAGAGCAGAGTTTATTATTGATTACCAGGGATAGGAGAGAGTGGGAAAAGGAAAATTTAAATGATGGAAAAATTGCACTAAGGGTAGGATTTCACAGCTAGTTATTATAATTACTGTAAAAAAGTTGTATGCTTGGAAACAGTTTAATTCATTCCACCCCCACCCCCGCCACACACACAGACTGATTTTAAAATATAGGTCCAGTATTCTCTTGAGTAAAAATAATAAATTTAATTATAAATTACTGGTAAAATTATTTAATCCTGAAAAATGTATTTTTTAAAATAAGTATATTTCTAAGAGAAGTTATAATATATTTATAATAGTTATAATATATTTGACTCAGTGTCTTTGAAGCCAAAATGTGTTCTAGCCACTAAATATATTAAACTCTTTGAATTTGGGGGAATAGTTAAATTTTCTTTGGGAACTGAAGAAACAATGTGAGTAAAGAAGATATAGCTTAATTCTAGGCACTCAGAAGTCATTGAAAAGGAAAGCTATAAAAGCCTTCTCAAAAAGGGTGCACAGGGCAAATTGTTTAAAGAATTTATTTTCATAAGCTTATGACTTCATAACTTTCATAGAACTACACTAGAACTAGTTAAGCCTTTAGTATGGTTGCATGATATTTTCGTAACTACATCATTAATATAATTCATCAAATTTTATGGGCTTTCATTCACACTGATAGGAGAACCATAAAAGCCCTTTTCCAATTGTAAGAAAGTAATATACTGTATATACTTGAGTATAAGCCGAGTTTTGTAGCACATTTTTTATGCAGTTTTTGTGCTAAAATTAGGTGCCTTGTCGGATATTTGGGTCGGCTTATACTCGAGTATATACAGTAATTTCTTAAAAAATGAGAACATTTTTAAAGATTATATATTTACTATTCATAGGTATGATATTGTAAGATAGTAATATTCTGATAGCAGTAAGAAGTAGATGCTATTTAAAAATATGGTAACTGAGTGCTTACGTAAGAAATAAAAGTCTACATCCAATTTTCCTCTTTTAAAGAGAAGATAGAAGTTCATTGAAATATAAGCGTGCTATGAGAAATGTAAAGAAAAGTAAAAGGGATAATCGTGATTTATTGTTAATTTTCTGTTTTAGCAATTTTAAATGAAAGGTGGCAAATGCTATAAAGTATTAATCTGATATAGGGAAAGAATTATCAATTAAGATAAAACATGTTTGTTAATACTTTGTAGATAATTATTTTGGGGTTTTTTGTTCATTTTTCTCTTTAGCAGATTATAAAACTTTATGAAGCTAAGAAACTTTCAGAAACTATGGAAGAAAAGAGTACTATTACAGAAAAGAGAAAGGATTTGAAAGAAAGGTCTAAGTAAAATTTATGTTGAATTTTATATGAGCAAACACTCTGAACCCAAAAGCTTGATTTCATATTCTATCCCAAGCCATTAATATACACAGTGTATAAGAATATGTTTGTGCAGGGTATTTTCTAGTTTCTTATGAATAATTTTAACTTATACCTTCAAATACTGTGACCCAATACTTAACACTGTTTGTTGTTTAAAGTCAAGGATAGTATATGGAGAGAAACAGGGAAACAGTAGCATATCTGTTTTCAATAACCTGTCAGTTGTACATTTCCTCCAGTTTTTCAGGATGTGTCAATAACCAGAGTAAAAGACTCAGTTGGTGGAAGTTGCAGTATATTAACCTTTTTATCATCCTGTTACCATTTTGACCAATTTTCCTTTGCCATAGAGAGTAAGGATGAACTACAGGTTGCTACTGAATCTGTGACTTCGTATATGTCCTTGCCTTTTATCCTAATAGATTATACCTTTGGCTGTTCTTCATTTTTTTTATGATCTTTATCTTTTAAAAAAAATCATTTTATTAGGGGCTCATACAACTTTTATCACAATCCATACACACATCAATTGTGTAAAGCGTATTTGTACATCATTCTCAAAACATTTTCTCTCCACTTAAACCCCT